CGGCGGGTGTGGTGTTGGCCGACGGCATGCACTTCAACCCGTACTTTGTGAGCGGTTCGGGCGCTATAGGTATGGCGCAGGCGTTGTTCAGCGAAATGATCGAGTACGAAGACGGCACGCCCGCCACGCAGAGCCAGTTGGCCAAAGACGTGGTCACTTTCCTGTCGTGGGCCGCGCAGCCCGAGTACGACACACGCAAAAAGGCCTCAATCGATGTGAGTAGAGTGTGGCCCACACGATGGGTGGGTGTGGAGGGATAGGACTGATTGCCCCGTCTATTGTCCCGAAGCACCTGAACCCGTGTCGGCCGACCCGTGACATGCGTTTGTGATAATGTGTTGTGTGTGTTGTCATTGTTTTAGTAGTTTTTAATGAGTTTTGTTTAGACCCTTACCTCTACCCCCACACCCCTTATACTTACCCAAAGGGTTACACCTTTAGTGTAGGTGTGAGGGTCTGACCCCTGCCCTTTTCTACATAAAGGGGGTGTTTCTAATGCTTATGATTAGTGTTATTAATATTTGCAGTACTTTTGCAATATTTGCAATAATGTTAGTGTTTGTAAAGTTTTTAATTTGTTTTTATTTAACTAATAACTAATTATTATAACTAATTGTTAACTATAATTGTACGACAGGTACTGCTAATAATGATCCCAATGTTGGCACTGTTGACGTTCTGGAAGCGGCACTTGTGGTCGACAATCAAATCGCGTAAAATACTGTTCAGAGAGACACCGAAACAGCCGCCGAAGAAGTCTTAATCGCCGCCACAATAGTTATATATTAATTGCATTGTAATTGAAAATAATATTAATTATTAATATTAAGTGAATTAGTTATGGATTTTAATTATTTAATTAATTGATTATTTAAAATGACAGCAAAATATCAGCTTTTTTCTATACATATGTTTAAAATACACGTTAAAGTGATTTATTAAATGACGTTTAAATCAGTAGTTATTTAAAGTGATCATGAATTGAAATTAATTTTTTTTTGTTTTTATTTTAATCGAAATTGTTTTTTGATTTTTAGCCAAAATAATAGTTAATAAATTTATTTGTGAAATACAGTCAAAGCATTTATTTATTAACTATTGTTAAGTAATTTTTTGTGACATTTATTCAATGTTTAAATCAAACGCTTTTAAACATATAAATCAAAAAATTAATTTTATATTTATTTACAAAAACAATAATTAAATGCAAACACAATAACAATAATTAATTAATTAAATAATTAAAATTGTTTTTATTAAAGTAAAACTCGCTTTAATCGGGAGATTAGTTAATAAATTATCATTAATTGTATGTGAATTTGTTGTTAACTTAATTAGCATTTAATTTGTGGCAAAAACTTTGTTTTATTTAAAATTTTGATTAATTTCTTCCCTTTCGGTGTAAATATTTTAGATTTTATTTTAGCATTTGTTTCGAAAAATTACTTATTATTTATTAATAAAAATTCAAATTCATTGAAATTGATTTATAATTTTTAATTTCAATTAATTTAAATCAGAGAGAGAGA